CACACTCACTCACACACACTAAACCCCCTGTAGAAACACTCTATTTCAGGTAGACGTACTGCATGGAGAAGGGAACTAAAGAATATATGTATGATAAGGAAAATGGACTTAAAGTTGTAAAATATTTGAAAGCATGTAATTAAAGAGAAGCATCAACAGTCCTTTATTCATGCCGCCGTGTGGCCGAACACTGTCATTACAACTGGTCCTGAATCAGTTCCTGGGAGATCAGAGGACCCTCAAGGCTGCTTCAGAGGACCCTATGAGGTTGAGGGTCTCAGATGTTGAGGCAGTTTCTCTCAGATGTTGAGGACCCTCAGATGTTGAGGCAGTAGGCCGGCTCGGGGTCCTCGGGCAGCCTCAGGGCTTCAGGCAGGTCTTCGGGCAGCCTCAGGGCTTCAGGCAGGTCTTCGGGCAGCCTCAGGGCTTCGGGCAGGACCCCCCCCGGCGTGCTCACCATCCTCATGGTGTTCCTGCCGAACAGAGACCTCTCGTACTCCATCAGCTGCCTCCAGAACCCGGCGTTGGGTCGGATGAACGGACGCTGCTCCAGAACCGCCTCGTGAGCCCGTCTAAGGCTCAGACCCTCAAACCTGCACAGACCAGAACCAGAACTTTAGAGGTCTTCTATCATACAGAATTCACATCACCATGTGTCCCCCACAGAGAGAGAGAGAGAGAGGGAGAGAGAGAGAGAGAGAGAGAGAGGAGAGAGAGGAGAGAGGAGAGGAGAGAGAGAGAGAGAGAGAGAGAGAGAGAGGCACACCTTCATATGATCATTATAGTGGTACAAACAATAAGAGAATAAATAAAAAAACAGGTATGAAATACTATATGGCAGTAAAACAAGAATACAGTTTGAAAGGGGAGTGATTAAATATCCATAAAGAAAAAGTAAATCTGCTTCCAGTTCTGTTTCATCTGGTGTTGAGAGATGTTTCCATAGATCTCTTCATGTTGCTCTCAAAGTGCACCAGATTGATGCTTTCAACTTCAATATTTAAAAAAAAATCTTGCATCCCCCCGGACCCCCCTAGAGGAGGTGAGGAACCCCCCTAGAGGAGGTGAGGACCCCCCTAGAGGAAGTGAGGAACCCCCCTAGAGGAGGTGAGGACCCCCCTAGAGTAGGTGAGGACCCCCCTAGAGGAGGTGAGGACCCCCCCTAGAGGAGGTGAGGACCCCCCTAGAGGAGGTGAGGACCTAGAGTAGGTGAGGAACCCCCCTAGAGGAGGTGAGGACCCCCCTAGAGGAGGTGAGGACCTAGAGTAGGTGAGGAACCCCCCTAGAGTAGGTGAGGAACCCCCCTAGAGGAGGTGAGGACCTAGAGTAGGTGAGGAACCCCCCTAGAGTAGGTGAGGAACCCCCCTAGAGGAGGTGAGGACCTAGAGTAGGTGAGGAACCCCCCTAGAGGAGGTGAGGACCTAGAGTAGGTGAGGAACCCCCCTAGAGTAGGTGAGGAACCCCCCTGGGGGGGGGGAGAGGACCCCTCCTAGAGGAGGTGAGGTCCGCCCCCCATTCATAGGAAATAGCACTTTACCCCTGCCTATATGCCGTGAGCTGGTGATGGAGCCCTAACAGTAACTCAGATGCAATCAGCCTATAAAAGGCCTCAAACTGGAAGCACTGTCCGGCATCTTTTTCACTCAATTCTGCAATAGGTTGATCTCGCCTTTCACCGAGGCCGAGGTCGGTGATCTTGGCCTTAAAGGTTGGGAACCACTGCCCTAAAGGATGTGAGGTCATCACAAATAAAACAGGTTCACATGGAGAGGATACTAGAGAAGTGTGCACACTCATTATATACACTACACATTTCTCTTGGATTTGTTAACACCAGTCTCATATATTTGTAGAAAGGCAGGAAATGGAATTAAATCGAGAAAATGTTTCATTGCGGAGGACCCCCTGTTTTGTGTCCCCCCCCCCACTTCTGTCACCTCATCAGGTAGGTGTGTGGGGGGTCACCTCATCAGGTAGGTGTGTGGGGGGGTAGGTGTGTGGGGGGTCACCTCATCAGGTAGGTGTTGTGGGGGTAGGTGTGTGGGGGGTCACCTCATCAAGTAGGTGTGTGGGGGGTAGGTGTGTGGGGGGTCACCTCATCAGGTAAGTGTGTGGGGGGTAGGTGTGTGGGGGGTCACCTCATCAGGTAAGTGTGTGGGGGGTAGGTGTGTGGGGGGTCACCTCATCAGGTAAGTGTGTGGGGGGTAGGTGTGTGGGGGGTCACCTCATCAGGTAGGTGTGTGGGGGGTAGGTTGTGTGGGGGGTCACCTCATCAGGTAAGTGTGTGGGGGGTAGGTGTGTGGGGGGTAGGTGTGTGGGGGGTCACCTCATCAGGTAGGTGTGTGGGGGGTAGGTGTGTGGGGGGTCACCTCATCAGGTAAGTGTGTGGGGGGTAGGTGTGTGGGGGGGTCACCTCATCAGGTAAGTGTGTGGGGGGTAGGTGTGTGGGGGGTCACCTCATCAGGTAAGTGTGTGGGGGGTAGGTGTGTGGGGGACACCTCATCAGGTAGGTGTGTGGGGGGTAGGTGTGTGGGGGGTCACCTCATCAGGTTGGTGTGTGGGGGGTCACGTTATCAGGTAGGTGTGGGGGGGGTAGGTGTGTGGGGGGTCACCTCATCAGGTAGGTGTGTGGGGGGTAGGTGTGTGGGGGGTCACCTCATCAGGTTGGTGTGTGGGGGGTCACCTTATCAGGTAGGTGTGGGGGGGGTAGGTGTGTGGGGGGTCACCTCATCAGGTAGGTGTGGGGGGGTAGGTGTGGGGGGGGTTACCTCATCAGGTAAGTGTGTGGGGGGTAGGTGTGTGGGGGGTAGGTGTGTGGGGGGTAGGTGTGTGGGGGGTCACCTCATCAGGTAAGTGTGTGGGGGGTAGGTGTGTGGGGGGTCACCTCATCAGGTAAGTGTGTGGGGGTAGGTGTGTGGGGGGTCACCTCATCAGGTAGGTGTGTGGGGGGTAGGTGTGTGGGGGGGTCACCTCATCAGGTAGGTGTGTGGGGGGTAGGTGTGGGGGGGGTTACCTCATCAGGTAAGTGTGTGGGGGGTAGGTGTGGGGGGGGGTAGGTGTGTGGGGGGTCACCTCATCAGGTAAGTGTGTGGGGGGTAGGTGTGGGGGGGGGTAGGTGTGTGGGGGGTCACCTCATCAGGTAAGTATGTGGGGGGTAGGTGTGGGGGGGGTAGGTGTGTGGGGGGTCACCTCATCAGGTAAGTGTGTGGGGGGAAGGTGTGGGGGGGGGTAGGTGTGTGGGGGGTAGGTGTGTGGGGGGTCACCTCATCAGGTAGGTGTGTGGGGAGTAGGTGTGTGGGGGGTAGGTGTGGGGGGGGGTAGGTGTGTGGGGGGTCACCTCATCAGGTAAGTGTGTGGGGGGTAGGTGTGAGGGGGGGGGTAGGTGTGTGGGGGGTCACCTCATCAGGTAAGTGTGTGGGGGGTAGGTGTGTGGGGGGTCACCTCATCAGGTAAGTGTGTGGGGGGTAGGTGTGTGGGGGGTCACCTCATCAGGTAAGTGTGTGGGGGGTAGGTGTGTGGGGGGTAGGTGTGTGGGGGGTCACCTCATCAGGTAAGTGTGTGGGGGGTAGGTGTGGGGGGGGTAGGTGTGTGGGGGGTCACCTCATCAGGTAAGTGTGTGGGGGGTAGGTGTGAGGGGGGGGTAGGTGTGTGGGGGGTAGGTGTGTGGGGGGTCACCTCATCAGGTAGGTGTGTGGGGGGTAGGTGTGGGGGGGGTAGGTGTGTGGGGGGTCACCTCATCAGGTAAGTGTGTGGGGGGTAGGTGTGGGGGGGGTAGGTGTGTGGGGGGTCACCTCATCAGGTAGGCGATGATGAGGCTGGGCGAGCGGCTCCTTCCCGCGCTGCAGTGAACCAGAGTTCTGCCAGTTCGGTTCTGGTGGATCCGCTCCCCCACCAGGTCGAAGTAGAGCTTCAGGGGGGCGTGAGGCTGGTCCTGGAGGGGGACGTTCAGCACGGAGAGGCCCTCCATCTGGGGGTAGACCAGGTCCTGGAGCCCGCTGGCGTTCACCACCAGAGAGATGCTCCGGCTGCTGAGCACGCTGAGACGCAGGGCCGGGTCAGAACCACTCAGGTACAGCCCGGGACGCACCTGAGACACCTGAGACATGCTGCTGACCTGAGGACAGGAGACACCTGAGACCTAAGAGGTTTCTCAATACTCTAATTCCCCCTCCTCGACTCATCGACTCATCGACTCCTCGACTCCTCGACTCCTCGACTCCTCGACTCCTCGACTCCTCGGTCCTCCGCTAGTGACCCGGAAATGAATTTCAGCGCGCCATGTTGAAGGACATCTCATTTCTCTAAATGCACTTCGAGGACCGAGGATCGAGGAGGCTCAATGGAGGAGCTCTAACCGAGGAGAGAGGAGAGAGGAGAGAGGAGGCTCTCTGGAGGAGCTATAACCGAGGAGAGAGGAGAGAGGAGAGAGGAGAGAGGAGACTCTCTGGAGGAGCTATAACCGAGGAGAGAGGAGAGAGGAGATAGGAGGCTCTCTGGAGGAGCTATAACCGAGGAGAGAGGAGAGAGGAGGCTCTCTGGAGGAGCTATAACAGAGGAGAGAGGAGAGAGGAGAGAGGAGGCTCTCTGGAGGGGCTATAACCGAGGAGAGAGGAGAGAGGAGAGAGGAGGCTCTGTGGAGGAGCTATAAACCGAGGAGAGAGGAGAGAGGAGAGAGGAGGCTCTCTGGAGGAGCTATAACCGAGGAGAGAGGAGAGAGGAGAGAGGCGAGAGGAGGCTCTCTGGAGGAGCTATAACCGAGGAGAGAGGAGAGAGGAGAGAGGATGCTCTCTGGAGGAGCTATAACCGAGGAGAGAGGAGAGAGGAGAGAGGAGGCTCTCTGGAGGGGCTATAACCGAGGAGAGAGGAGAGAGGAGGCTCTGTGGAGGAGCTATAAACGAGGAGAGAGGAGAGAGGAGAATCTCTGGAGGAGCTCTAACCGAGGAGAGAGGAGAGAGGAGAGAGGAGGCTCTCTGGAGGAGCTCTAACCGAGGCGAGAGGAGGGAGGAGAGAGGAGGCTCTCTGGAGGAGCTCTAACCGAGGAGAGAGGAGAGAGGAGGCTCTCTGGAGGAGCTATAACCGAGGAGAGAGGAGAGAGGAGGCTCTCTGGAGGAGCTATAACCGAGGAGAGAGGAGAGAGGAGAGAGGAGAGAGGAGGCTCTCTGGAGGAGCTATAACTGAGGAGAGAGAAGAGAGGAGAGAGGAAGCTTTCTGGAGGAGCTCTAACCGAAGAGAGAGGAGAGAGGAGAGAGGATCGAGGAGGCTCTCTGGAGGAGCTATAACCGAGGAGAGAGGAGAGAGGAAGCTTTCTGGAGGAGCTCTAACCGAAGAGAGAGGAGAGAGGAGAGAGGAGAGAGGAGGCTCTCTGGAGGAGCTATAACCGAGGAGAGAGGAGAGAGGAGAGAGGAGAGAGGAGGCTCTGTGGAGGAGCTATAACCGAGGAGAGAGGAGAGAGGAGAGAGGAGAATCTCTGGAGGAGCTCTAACCGAGGAGAGAGGAGAGAGGAAGCTTTCTGGAGGAGCTCTAACCGAAGAGAGAGGAGAGAGGAGAGAGGAGAGAGGAGGCTCTCTGGAGGAGCTATAACCGAGGAGAGAGGAGAGAGGAGGCTCTGTGGAGGAGCTATAACCGAGGAGAGAGGAGAGAGGAGAATCTCTGGAGGAGCTCTAACCGAGGAGAGAGGAGAGAGGAGAGAGGAGAGAGGAGGCTCTCTGGAGGAGCTCTAACCGAGGAGAGAGGAGGGAGGAGAGAGGAGGCTCTCTGGAGGAGCTCTAACCGAGGAGAGAGGAGAGAGGAGGCTCTCTGGAGGAGCTATAACCGAGGAGAGAGGAGAGAGGAGAGAGGAGGGCTCTCTGGAGGAGCTATAACCGAGGAGAGAGGAGAGAGGAGAGAGGAGGCTCTCTGGAGGAGCTATAACTGAGGAGAGAGAAGAGAGGAGAAAGGAAGCTTTCTGGAGGAGCTCTAACCGAAGAGAGAGGAGAGAGGAGAGAGGATCGAGGAGGCTCTCTGGAGGAGCTATAACCGAGGAGAGAGGAGAGAGGAAGCTTTCTGGAGGAGCTCTAACCGAAGAGAGAGGAGAGAGGAGAGAGGAGAGAGGAGGCTCTCTGGAGGAGCTATAACCGAGGAGAGAGGAGAGAGGAGAGAGGAGGCTCTCTGGAGGAGCTATAACCGAGGAGAGAGGAGAGAGGAGAGAGGAGGCTCTCTGGAGGAGCTATAACTGAGGAGAGAGAAGAGAGGAGAGAGGAAGCTTTCTGGAGGAGCTCTAACCGAGGAGAGAGGAGAGAGGAGAGAGGAGGCTCTCTGCAGGAGCTATAACCGAGGAGAAAGGAGAGAGGAGAGAGGAGGCTCTCTGGAGGAGCTATAACCGAGGAGAGAGGAGAGAGGAGAGAGGAGGCTCTCTGGAGGAGCTATAACCGAGGAGAGGGGAGAGAGGAGAGAGGAGGCTCTCTGGAGGAGCTATAACCGAGGAGAGAGGAGAAAGGAGGCTCTCTGGAGGAGCTATAACCGAGGAGAGAGGAGAGAGGAGAGAGGATCGAGGAGGCTCTCTGGAGGAGCTCTAAACGAGGAGAGAGGAGAGAGGAGAGAGGAGGCTCTCTGGAGGAGCTATAACCGAGGAGAGAGGAGAGAGGAGAGAGGAGAGAGGAGAGAGGAGAGAGGAGACTCTCTGGAGGAGCTATAACCGAGGAGAGAGGAGAGAGGAGAGAGGAGGCTCTCTGGAGGAACTATAACCGAGGAGAGAGGAGAGAGGAGGCTCTCTGGAGGAGCTATAACCGAGGAGAGAGGAGAGAGGAGAGAGGAGAGAGGAGGCTCTCTGGAGGAGCTATAACCGAGGAGAGAGAAGAGAGGAGAGAGGAGGCTCTCTGTAGGAGCTCTAACCGAGGAGAGAGGATAGAGGAGAGAGGAGAGAGGAGGCTCTCTGGAGGAGCTATAACCGAGGAGAGAGGAGAGAGGAGAGAGGAGAGGAGAGAGGAGAGAGGAGAGAGGAGAGAGGAGAGAGGAGGCTCTCTGGAGGAGCTATAACCGAGGAGAGAGGAGAGAGGAGGCTCTCTGGAGGAGCTATAACCGAGGAAAGAGGAGAGAGGAGAGAGGAGGCGAGCCTCTTCAGAGCGTATTGCACTCCTCTCTATACTGCCCCCTTGTGGCTCAAGATGAGAAGGCGAGCCTCTTCAGAGCGTATTGCACTCCTCTCTATACTGCCCCCTTGTGGCTCAAGATAAGAAGGCGAACCTCTTCAGAGCGTATTGCACTCCTCTCTATACTGCCCCCTTGTGGCTCAAGATGAGAAGGCGAGCCTCTTCAGAGCGTATTGCACTCCTCTCTATACTGCCCCCTTGTGGCTCAAGATAAGAAGGCGAACCTCTTCAGAGCGTATTGCACTCCTCTCTATACTGCCCCCTTGTGGCTCAAGATAAGAAGGCGAGCCTCTTCAGAGCGTATTGCACTCCTCTCTATACTGCCCCCTTGTGGCTCAAGATAAGAAGGTGAACCTCTTCAAAGCGTATTGCACTCCTCTCTATACTGCCCCCTTGTGGCTCAAGATAAGAAGGCGAGCCTCTTCAGAGCGTATTGCACTCCTCTCTATACTGCCCCCTTGTGGCTCAAGATGAGAAGGTGAACCTCTTCAGAGCGTATTGCACTCCTCTCTATACTGCCCCCTTGTGGCTCAAGATAAGAAGGCGAACCTCTTCAGAGCGTATTGCACTCCTCTCTATACTGCCCCCTTGTGGCTCAAGATAAGAAGGCGAACCACTTCAGAGCGTATTGCACTCCTCTCTATACTGCCCCCTTGTGGCTCAAGATAAGAAGGCGAACCTCTTCAGAGCGTATTGCACTCCTCTCTATACTGCCCCCTTGTGGCTCAAGATGAGAAGGCGAGCCTCTTCAGAGCGTATTGCACTCCTCTCTATACTGCCCCCTTGTGGCTCAAGATAGAAGGCGAGCCTCTTCAGAGCGTATTGCACTCCTCTCTATACTGCCCCCTTGTGGCTCAAGATGAGAAGGCGAGCCTCTTCAGAGCGTATTGCACTCCTCTCTATACTGCCCCCTTGTGGCTCAAGATGAGAAGGCGAGCCTCTTCAGAGCGTATTGCACTCCTCTCTATACTGCCCCCTTGTGGCTCAAGATAAGAAGGTGAACCTCTTTAGAGCTTATTGCACTCCTCTCTATACTGCCCCCTTGTGGCTCAAGATAAGAAGGTGAACCTCTTCAGAGCGTATTGCACTCCTCTCTATACTGCCCCCTTGTGGCTCAAGATAAGAAGGTGAGCCTCTTCAGAGCGTATTGCACTCCTCTCTATACTGCCCCCTTGTGGCTCAAGATGAGAAGGCGAGCCTCTTCAGAGCGTATTGCACTCCTCTCTATACTGCCCCCTTGTGGCTCAAGATGAGAAGGCGAGCCTCTTCAGAGCGTATTGCACTCCTCTCTATACTGCCCCCTTGTGGCTCAAGATGAGAAGGCGAGCCTCTTCAGAGCGTATTGCACTCCTCTCTATACTGCCCCCTTGTGGCTCAAGATGAGAAGGCGAGCCTCTTCAGAGCGTATTGCACTCCTCTCTATACTGCCCCCTTGTGGCTCAAGATAAGAAGGCGAGCCTCTTCAGAGCGTATTGCACTCCTCTCTATACTGCCCCCTTGTGGCTCAAGATGAGAAGGCGAGCCTCTTCAGAGCGTATTGCACTCCTCTCTATACTGCCCCCTTGTGGCTCAAGATAAGAAGGCGAGCCTCTTCAGAGCGTATTGCACTCCTCTCTATACTGTCCCCTTGTGGCTCAAGATAAGAAGGCGAGCCTCTTCAGAGCGTATTGCACTCCTCTCTATACTGCCCCCTTGTGGCTCAAGATAAGAAGGTGAACCTCTTCAGAGCGTATTGCACTCCTCTCTATACTGCCCCCTTGTGGCTCAAGATGAGAAGGCGAACCTCTTCAGAGCGTATTGCACTCCTCTCTATACTGCCCCCTTGTGGCTCAAGATGAGAAGGTGAACCTCTTCAGAGCGTATTGCACTCCTCTCTATACTGCCCCCTTGTGGCTCAAGATGAGAAGGTGAACCTCTTCAGAGCGTATTGCACTCCTCTCTATACTGCCCCCTTGTGGCTCAAGATGAGAAGGCGAGCCTCTTCAGAGCGTATTGCACTCCTCTCTATACTGCCCCCTTGTGGCTCAAGATGAGAAGGTGAACCTCTTCAGAGCGTATTGCACTCCTCTCTATACTGCCCCCTTGTGGCTCAAGATGAGAAGGCGAACCTCTTCAGAGCGTATTGCACTCCTCTCTATACTGCCCCCTTGTGGCTCAAGATGAGAAGGCGAACCTCTTCAGAGCGTATTGCACTCCTCTCTATACTGCCCCCTTGTGGCTCAAGATGAGAAGGCGAACCTCTTCAGAGCGTATTGCACTCCTCTCTATACTGCCCCCTTGTGGCTCAAGATGAGAAGGCGAGCCTCTTCAGAGCGTATTGCACTCCTCTCTATACTGCCCCCTTGTGGCTCAAGATAAGAAGGCGAGCCTCTTCAGAGCGTATTGCACTCCTCTCTATACTGCCCCCTTGTGGCTCAAGATAAGAAGGCGAGCCTCTTCAGAGCGTATTGCACTCCTCTCTATACTGTCCCCTTGTGGCTCAAGATGAGAAGGCGAGCCTCTTCAGAGCGTATTGCACTCCTCTCTATACTGCCCCCTTGTGGCTCAAGATGAGAAGGCGAGCCTCTTCAGAGCGTATTGCACTCCTCTCTATACTGCCCCCTTGTGGCTCAAGATGAGAAGGCGAGCCTCTTCAGAGCGTGTTGCACTCCTCTCTATACTGCCCCCTTGTGGCTCAAGATGAGAAGGCGAGCCTCTTCAGAGCGTATTGCACTCCTCTCTATACTGCCCCCTTGTGGCTCAAGATGAGAAGGCGAGCCTCTTCAGAGCGTGTTGCACTCCTCTCTATACTGCCCCCTTGTGGCTCAAGATGAGAAGGCGAGCCTCCGGAAGCTCCAGGTTGCTTAATGACTGTTTGCGCATACTGCTTAGAAAACCAAGGCGGTGCAGTGCAAGTGAAATGTTCTGTGACGCACGAGTCAACACGTTCCATGCTCTCCTGAGAAATCTACACATTCCTCTGTCGATTGAATGTTTCTCAATCTGTCATCGTGCTGCTCTCAAATCCGTGTCTGCGGGAACATCGGGATCACTGCCTTTTGAGTGGTGTAGGCCTATGTCTTGTAATAATGGACCAAGAGTCTCTTTAAATAAAGATCATGATGATGATAAGCCTATATATTCGCCAATCAGAGCGAGGGTCGTCAACATCTGACCAATCCCAGCGGAGGAATGTTGAACTATGAGTCACACACACACACACACACACACACACAGCTCACGTGATGATGAGTCACAGTTTCACTTCAGGTTTCTCTCCGACAGACTGACATTACACGCAGGTAAGATCTTCTGTTTACCTTTGGTTTTAATATAGTATACTCACTGTCTAACTACACAACAACTACACAACAACTACACAGCAACTACACAACAACTACACAGCAACTACACAACAACTACCCAGCAACTACACAACAACTACACAACAACTACACAACAAATACACAATAACTATAAAGCCGTTCAGAACAGCATCAGTTTGTGATTAAAACACATCTGATCCGTCTGTTTTATTGATCGGCCTGTTGTATGTGTTGTTGTTGTGTTTGTTGTTGTTGTTGTTGGTAATGTGGAAGTATGGAGATCGTAAAGAAGCAGTCTGAAGTATCTTGTTCTGTGTCTGTATTACACTGTGTATACCTGAGCTACAGGGTACCAGCTTCTGCTGTTAGCAAAGTGTGTACCTGCTGATAGAGTAAATACAAACACTTGAGAGAACACTCACCTGTTTACTCCCGAGGGTTAAATAACAAGTAAACAACAACTTCCGGTTGACGCTTTCAAGCTTTTCAAAATAAAAGCACATCATTTGTGTTCTTACGTTTTTTATGAAAACAAGCTAAATATGAATGTTACACACACACACACACATGTTAGACACACACACGTTAGACACACACACACACACACACACACACACACACACACACACACACGTGTGTGTGAGAAGGAGAAAAAAGCACAGAGCATTATCGTTTTTTGACCTGAGAATATGTGTTTGTATTTGATACCTTTTGTTGAAGTAAGGAGTCAAACAAACTATCCTGAGACGGATCTTGTCCGAGTCAAACTTATTGCTATCTGTGGATCGAACTTTGGATTACTGGAACTACAACAGGTGTAATAATAGTGTGATAACAGGTGTAATACAGGTGTAATAATAGTGTGATAACAGGTGTAATACAGGTGTAATAATAGTGTGATAACAGGTGTAATAATAGTGTGATAACAGGTGTAATAATAGTGTGATAACAGGTGTAATAATAGTGTGATAACAGGTGTAATAATAGTGTGATAACAGGTGTAATACAGGTGTAATAATAGTGTGATAACAGGTGTAATACAGGTGTAATAATAGTGTGATATGGGTGAAATGTAGAAAACCCAAATCTATTCACTCTTCATAGTATTTAGTGATTTAAGGGTTAAGAGTCTCCCTGTTCTGCTTCCTGCTCTGATATAGATGCTCGACCAGAACAGAAACCAGATCTCAGCAGCAGACCGGACCCTGAAGATCCCAGAGGTCCGGTACCATCCGAGCATCCAGCCCACGAGCCCCAGAACCACAACCAGAACCAGCCAGGACCAGAGGAGCAGACCTGCTGCTGCAACCCCCCTCAAGGCTGTACGCACCATTGTTAACGTTTAAATGATTGCAGTTACGTCCAAATATCGTACGATGTTTAGATCATGTCCGTATATCGTACGATAAGTTATTAACGTAAACAATTGAAGTTATGTTTATATATCGTGCAGTGTTATAAATCATTTAATCAAATAATAAAAAAATACATTACGTCTTATTTTTATTTAACGATAAACCCTTTTTCTGTTCTGAATAAATGAAGATGCAGGACCAGAACAGAAACCAGGTCCCAGCAGCAGACCGGACCCTGAAGATCCCCGAGGTCCGGTACCACCCGAGCATCAGCACCACGACCCCCAGAACCACAACCAGAATCAGCCAGACCCTGAGGCCCAGACCTGCTGCTGAACCCCCCCTTCAAGCAGGACCCAGAACCCCCCAGACTGGACCCAGAACCCCCCAGACTGGATCCAGGACCCCCCAGACTGGATCCAGGACTCCCCAGACTGGATCCAGGACCCCCCAGACTGGACCCAGAACCCCCCAGACTGGATCCAGGACCCCCCAGACTGAATCCAGGAACCCCCAGACTGAATCCAGGAACCCCCAGACTGAATCCAGGAACCCCCAGGTGAACCCTGCTGTGAGACCTGGACCTGATGCGGGGAAACAGAGTGCTGAGAGCCCGGTTCGTGGAGACGCCCCCAGCCCGGAGCAGGTCTGTCGTGGATATTTTAAACACTCACAACATAAGCAGATAACCAAATAGAAACATATTGAAGCGCAGACACAGAAGTGGTTGGAGTTAAAATATGTAATATATATATATATATATGTAATATATCATAATGCAATTACTTTTACTCTCCTTGCATTATTTTATCTGTGTTATTGTGTTGCTCTGTGGGAGGAGCCTGTGGCCTCAGATTGTCATTGTCATATCTACACTGTAGCTCTGTACACATGACAATAAAAGCCTTGAATCTTGAAACATAACAGGTGCCACTGGGTCTGGGGGTCCGGGTGGACCAGCAGGAGGTGGAGGAGGTGGAGGTTCTGACCCGCGGGCAGAGCACCAACCCCGCCTGGTTTGCCTGGAGGAAGAACCGGATCACAGCCTCCATTGCTCACAGCATCGCTCACTGCGGATTCGTCAACGGAAAGAGCCAAACCCCGCCCACTTCCTACCTGGCTGCTGTCACAGGTAAACCCCGCCCACTTCCTACCTGGCTGCTGTCACAGGTAAAACCTGACTAATGGCGCGTTTCCACTGCAGCGGGGAGCTCGCTTTAAGCGTGCCGAGCCGTGCGGGGCCCGTTTTTGGTTGCGTTTCCACTTGGTCTAGCACCGGCTAGCGGGTCCTACTTCACAGTTTTTCTGGCCCCATAAAATCGTGGTTCTCGGGCCAGGAACAACCAGGCTGAGTCGGGCTGAGTACGCTAAACTAGAGAGAGAATCGCTGGCAAGGGGGCTACAACTACAACAAGAGGAACATATTTGACCGTGATTTAATTGTAATACACGTTTCTAAATGATGCCGAAGTAACAACATACTGATACCGGTTAGTAAAAACCATGAATTAATGCTTTGACAAGTCTGCAGACAGACGGCAGAGAAACACCTTTTAAAATGCGTGTTTTCTACATGTAGCTTGGCTAAGCTAACGTTATATATGCTCCGACCGTCCACACTCACAACAACGGCCTATACAGACATACATAAACCAGCGACTGTATTCGCCATGACACAGGCAGTCTGTGGTTTGTACTTGTTTAACTTCTGTCTAGTTTCTGAACAGATATGAGGAGCTGTGAGCTCTGAGTGCTAACAGCTAACGGCTGTGTTGTTTTTCTGGGGCTCTCATTGAAGATGACGTCACGGCTCCGCCTACACTGCGTTACTATAGTTACAGTCCCTGTTCCTAAACTGTAATGGAAATGTGCCATAAAGTGAGCCGGTCCTAACGAGGCTTAGCCATACCGAGCGAGGCCGTGTAGTGGAAATGCGCCATTACACGACTCAGCCTTTTTACTAACCATGACGGAGAGGGTTCTGCTCCCTCATGATTTGTATAATGATGACATCAGAGAGAAATGAGCAGATGAACTCAGGTGACGGACTCAGGTGACGAACTCAGGTGATGAACACCTATGATGGGGAAGATAACAGCAAAGCAACACCATCTGGTTGTTTCTCAGGTGAGGCGCGGAGCGTCCGGACCAGAGCCATGTCCTGGGGGGTGCAGATGGAGGCCGAGGCCGTCCACAGCTACCAGGTACAGAATCACACACCTGGTGAAGCATGAGCTCGTCTCTCACTGACAGAGCATCCTCAGCTGAGGTGATGGGATGCTTTACAGCACCCTCTGTCAGGGACTGCAGAGTTTGGAGATGTTTTTCTCAAAATCTCAAAATTCAGATTTTGTTATAAAAATTCTGACTTTTTCTCAAAGTCTGAATGTTTTTGAAAAAGCAGCATGTTCTTGGTGATGCTCGGCTGAGGAGCTACGAGAAGAACCAGAGCATATGAGACTGCAGACTAAATGTTTATAATAACTCTCACTGACAGAAGGCAAATGTCGAGTTACAGAAAAAGTCAGGATTTTGAGAAATAAAGTTAGAAATTTGAGATTTTGGGAAAAGTCAGAATTTTGAGATGGGACTGTATTATGAAACACTGGTTCCATCAGCGCCAGTTACTGATCTGTCCTCGTCCTGCAGGCTGTGAAGACGGCGGCGTTGGGACGGAGCGTCTCGGTGCTCGCCTGCGGGCTCTTCCTGGACGCTCAGAGGCCCTGGTTGGGTGCGAGTCCAGATGGCATCGTGACGGACAGCCGGACCGGCCAATGGCTGCTCTGCCTGGAGGTGAAGTGTCCCTACAAACACAAGGACAGACGGGTGGAGGACGCCTGCAGGGACGACCCCAACTTCTGCCTGAAGATACAGGACGAGGACGGACGGAGGCCCGGAGAGGTCAGACTACATCACACTGACATGTCCTCGTCTCTAACTTCCTCTCCTCGCCTCTAACGTCCTCTCCTCGTCTCTCTCCTCGTCTCTAACGTCTTCTCCTCGTCTCTAACCTCCTCTCATCTCTAACTTCCTCTCCTCGTCTCTAACGTCCTCTCCTCGTCTCTAACGTCCTCTCCTCGTCTCTAACCTCCTCTCCTCGTCCTCTCCTCGTCTCTAACCTCCTCTCCTCGTCTCTAACCTCCTCTCCTCGTCTCTAACCTCCTCTCCTCGTCTCTAACTTCCTCTCCTCGTCTCTAACGTCCTCTCCTTGTCTCTCTCCTCGTCTCTAACCTCTTCTCCTCATCTCTAACCTCCTCTCCTCGTCCTCGTCTCTAATCTCCTCTCCTCGTCTCTAACCTCCTCATCTCTAACGTCCTCTCCTCGTCTCTAACCTCCTCTCCTCGTCTCTAACCTCCTCTCCTCGTCCTCTCCTCGTCTCTAACCTCCTCTCCTCGTCTCTAACCTCCTCTCCTCGTCTCTAACTTCCTCTTCTCGTCTCTCTCCTCGTCTCTAACGTCTTCTCCTCGTCTCTAACCTCCTCTCATCTCTAACTTCCTCTCCTCGTCTCTAACGTCCTCTCCTCGTCTCTAACCTCCTCTCCTCGTCCTCTCCTCGTCTCTAACCTCCTCTCCTCGTCTCTAACCTCCTCTCCTCCTCTCTAACTTCCTCTCCTCGTCTCTAACGTCCTCTCCTTGTCTCTCTCCTCATCTCTAACCTCCTCTCCTCGTCTCTAACCTCCTCTCCTCGTCCTCGTCTCTAATCTCCTCTCCTCGTCTCTAACCTCCTCATCTCTAACTTCCTCTCCTCGTCTCTAACGTCCTCTCCTCGTCTCTAACCTCCTCTCCTCGTCTCTAACCTCCTCTCCTCGTCTCTAACCTCCTCTCCTAGTCTCTAACCTCCTCTCCTCGTCTCTAACCTCCTCTCCTCGTCCTCTCCTCGTCTCTAACCTCCTCATCTCTAACTTCCTCTCCTCGTCTCTAACCTCCTCATCTCTAACTTCCTCTCCTCGTCTCTAACGTCCTCTCCTCGTCTCTAACCTCGTCTCCTCGTCTCTAACTTCCTCTCCTCGTCTCCTCCTCTCCTTGTCCCCAGGTCCCGGTGTACGTTCTGAAGTCGTCCCACAGCTACTTCACTCAGGTCCAGTTCCAGATGGCGGTGACGGGCCTCCATCAGGCCGACTTCGTTGTCTTCACCCTTAAAGAGACGGCCGTGGTCCCGGTGACCTTTGACCCCGAGCTGTGGGAGGAGACGTTGTCCAAACTCGAGACATTTTACCGAGACGCTGTCCTGCCTCGCCTAAGTGACGGGGGGGGGGCGTCCTGGAGCCCTGAGCTGTAGAGACACTTTAAAGAGGGACCTCACGGAGGGAGCCTCAACTGAGCACCTAAGGGCACGGTGTTGCCGCTGCGAGGCTCAACTAGCACCTCTTGAAACAGAGGGCTCAGCATATAACTTTGCGTGGGGCCTCAAGTTGGCCAGGGACAGCCCTGTGTGTAACCATTAGCCAATCAGCAACCAAGGTAACCCCCCCCCCCCCCTCCTTATCACCTGAATCTCCTCCTAGAGCTCCATTGAGTTCTTTGTAACCAGATGTCTCTCAGAGGGGCGTGGGGAGGGGCTCCTTATTTTCATCTAAAGTCACAGACAGAGAATCAGCACTTTGGAAACAGGGCTGAAACAGAGGGGATTATGGGTAATGCTGCAATGATCTGTTTGGTGTTTCAGCCAATCAGAGACAGGCTCTGGATATATCTGAGACCTGTGATATACTGATGATATTGATAGGGGACCTTTAAAGAGTCCCTGCTCTTCTTCTGTGGTGTTCTCCAACCCTAGCCCCCAGGAAGTGCTCCAGATACCTGATGCTCACCGTACTTTAATGGATTTCATCTGTATTCCGGTTATTGTCCCATGAAGGGACTCTTTACTGGGATTTATGAGCAGAATATATTTACATGTATCAAAAGCATTGAAGACCTTGGAGACATGTTACAGTGGAGGGACATCAACCTGATCAGCTTCCTCTTCAGTCATTAGGCGCTTGGGGGGGGGGGGGGGGGGGGCCCGGGGCCTAGTCCCTACTAGTTTGCGTAAACCTTTTCACCCCCCAGATCCCCCCTGCTAGAGAGGTAGTACTTTCCTGAGGAGGAAATGGTTCGTGGGTGTGTCGGCCACACTAACAATTTCTGATTGGCTGGGCGAATTGCAAACCACGCCCCTAAAACTCAGAACGTTTTGTGAACCCAAAGCAGAAGAGGAAGTGACGTCAGCAGCTTCATTGGCCTAATCCTCCCTCAGGGACTTATTCCGGTGAGAACGCCATCTGCTAGGACAGTTCCAGGGACTACAGAGTTAGGCTATGTGCCTAAATGAGGCCAAGCGTAAACCGTAGTTTGGTCGTATCAGAAATCGTTCGGTGCCTTAAGGGAAAATACCAATATCTTGTGGTTACATTTGGAGTATTTATATACATGTATAGAGCAGGGTTTCCGCTAGGATTTTTTCTCGCCGGTCAAATGTCCGGGCAGACTTTATTTTACCGGATAAATTTGAAACTTACCGGTCATATTTCAATAATAATAATAAGAGTTGTGTAGCAGAGTTTCCGTTAGCAGGTAATTACCGGACTATGAGCAGATATGCTTCAGTTTAAAACTCAGTTCACGGGCTCATGTTTATATTGCTTCAGTCTATAATCGTAACAGATCGAAAAAATTCAGATTCATTTTTCAATAAATGATTCCACAAACAACAAACAACATAATTATTACATTAAACAAACTACTTGTAGTAGATGAAGTACATTATTCAAAAGTTTACATTAACTTTGAATAATCACACGGGAGAAACGGAGCCTCTCTTTTCCCCTCTCTCTCTCTCCTGACAGCCCGTCAGTTTCTCATGCAGCTAAACAGAGGCGGGGCTTCAGGTGATCATGCAGAGCTGCGTGTCTCTGTCAGACTCAGCAGCTGATCTGATCTCTCTCTCGCGTCTGGTTATACTTCACTCGCGTTTATGTCCATATCGATCAGATCCAGCTCTCCTGATCGGGCTTTATAGAGAGCACCGATCAAACTATTAACAGTGAATATCGGCCGATAATGACCGGTGGCCGATCTATCGGAGCATCCCTAATTATTACCAGACATTTTGACCGGCAGGTTTTGAATTTACCGGTTTTTAATACATTTTACCAGCTAAAAACCGGTAATTACCGGCTAACGGAAACCCTGGTACAGAGGTAAGAGTGTACGAAAGAAAGGCAACTTGAATTCATCTCCTTTTCAGGTCTTTTCTTGCTAATTATAATGTTTGTTTGTTACTTCAGGGGAATAATGTGTTCTTTGAAGAGTATTTTTAATAAAGATTTTATAACGTCTTCCTGTTTGTGCTTCCCTAAAGTATAGGTTGGGTTTGTTCCTTGAACATGTATTACTTTGACCTGAGAGTTTCTGAGTCCCTTGTAAAACATCACACATCAGGGTCTCTGCGCCCTCAAACCAAAATGCAGATTTCCCATAAAATGATTGCCAGAAAACGATATTTCTGTTCCTCAAAAACTGTATCATTCCTCCAGAAATCTGAGTCTCAGAGACAGCTTTGTTTTCACGAGCTCCGACCTCACGTTGTCGGTTTACTTTACGTTGTTGTTTACGCCGCCACGTTGTCATTTACGTCCGCCACGTTCTTGAGAGAATTGATATATCTTATAAACAGTCAGATCAGTAAACAGACACAGTACTCATACTATATCTTTATAGAAACACTTCTGATAGACTGTATACTTAAAAGGAAACACACCTGTACCGTACCCCCCCCCCCCCCCCCCATGAAGACAGAGTGACGCTGTAAAGGAATCAGCAGAAGAAGAACAGACCATGATCTGATGGATTTATTTGTTTTGTGTCTGAATGTAAATATAAGGTTGGGTCCTTTTAAAAGAGTCGATGATACAGAAAAAAGGTTTAATGTGACGATGGACTTTAAATAGACTCCGCCTCCTCCAGAGTTCACTGACATCACCAGGGGAAATCGACCAATCGGCCTGCAGCACATCAGTTCAGAGGAAAGAAAAAAAACGTCCTCCAGGCTGCTGATTGGCTGCTATAACAGGGGCTTGTTGAGGCACTGAGCGGGGCCTCACAGGTAAATGGGCGGGGCCTCACAGGTAACCCTCCTTCTTGAACTGCTCGTGTAGGATGTCCCGGTACTCGTCAAAGCCTCCGTCGATGCGGCCCACCTTCCCGTGCTCACACACCCACAGCTCCTTGCACACCATGCGGATCAGACGCTCGTCGTGAGACACCAGGATGACCCCGCCCTGAAACATGACATCACACAGTGAGGAGACGCACCTGAGACACACTTGAGAGGCACCTGAGACACATGTGACACAACTACAACCCTAAGACAGTCAACTGTTCCCTAAGAGAGTAATCTGTTCCCTGAGAGAGTAATCTGTTCCCTGAGACAGTCAACTGTTCCCAAAGAGAGTAATCTGTTCCCTGAGAGAGTAATCTGTTCCCTGAGACAGTCAACTGTTCCCAAAGAGAGTAATCTGTTCCCTGAGAGTAATCTGTTCCCTGAGACAGTCAACTGTTCCCTAAGAGAGTAATCTGTTCCCTGAGACAGTTAACTGTTCCCTAAGAGAGTAAACTGTTCCCTAAGAGAGTAATCTGTTCCCTGAGACAGTCAACTGTTCCCTAAGAGAGTAAACTGTTCCCTAAGAGAGTAATCTGTTCCCTGAGACAGTCAACTGTTCCCTAAGAGAGTAATCTGTTCCCTGAGAGAGTAATCTGTTCCCTGAGACAGTCAACTGTTCCCAAAGAGAGTAATCTGTTCCCTGAGAGTAATCTGTTCCCTGAGACAGTCAACTGTTCCCTAAGAGAGTAATCTGTTCCCTGAGACAGTCAACTGTTCCCTAAGAGAGTAAACTGTTCCCTAAGAGAGTAATCTGTTCCCTGAGACAGTCAACTGTTCCCTAAGAGAGTAATCTGTTCCCTGAGAGAGTAATCTGTTCCCTGAGACAGTCAACTGTTCCCTAAGAGAGTAATCTGTTCCCTGAGAGAGTAATCTGTTCCCTGAGACAGTCAACTGTTCCCAAAGAGAGTAATCTGTTCCCTGAGAGTAATCTGTTCCCTGAGACAGTCAACTGTTCCCTAAGAGAGTAATCTGTTCCCTGAGAGAGTAATCTGTTCCCTGAGACAGTCAACTGTTCCCTAAGAGAGTAATCTGTTCCCTGAGAGAGTAATCTGTTCCCTGAGACAGTCAACTGTTCCCAAAGAGAGTAATCTGTTCCCTGAGAGTAATCTGTTCCCTGAGACAGTCAACTGTTCCCTAAGAGAGTAATCTGTTCCCTGAGACAGTCAACTGTTCCCTAAGAGAGTAATCTGTTCCCTGAGACAGTCAACTGTTCCCTAAGAGAGTAAACTGTTCCCTAAGAGAGTAATCTGTTCCCTAAGAGAGTAATCTGTTCCCTGAGAGAGTAATCTGTTCCCTGAGACAGTAATCTGTTCCCTGAGAGAGTAATCTGTTCCCTGAGACAGTAATCTGTTCCCTGAGAGAGTAATCTGTTCCCTGAGACAGTAATCTGTTCCCTGAGAGAGTAATCTGTTCCCTGAGAGAGTAATCTGTTCCCTGAGAGAGTAATCGGTTCCCTGAGACAGTAATCCGTTCCCTGAGAGAGTCAACTGTTCCCTAAGACAGTCAACTGTTCCCTAAGAGAGTAATCTGTTTCCTGAGAGAGTCATCTGTTCCCTAAAACAGTAATCTGTTCGCTAACAGAGTCAACTGTTCCCTGAGAGAGTAATCTGTTCCCCGAGAGAGTAATCTGTTCCCCGAGACAGTAATCTGTTCCCCGAGACAGTAATCTGTTCCCCGAGACAGTCAACTGTTCCCTAAGAGAGTAATCTGTTCCCCGAGAGAGTAATCTGTTCCCCGAGAGAGTAATCTGTTCCCCGAGACAGTAATCCGTTCCCCGAGAGAGTAATCCGTTCCCCGAGAGAGTAATCTGTTTCCTGAGAGAGTCAACTGTTCCCCGAGAGAGTAATCTGTTCCCCGACAGAGTAATCTGTTCCCCGACAGAGTAATCTGTTCCCCGAGAGAGTAATCTGTTCCCCGAGAGAGTAATCTGTTCCCCGAGAGAGTAATCTGTTCCCCGAGAGAGTAATCTGTTCCCCGAGACAGTAATCTGTTCCCCGAGAGAGTAATCTGTTCCCCGAGAGAGTAATCTGTTCCCCGAGAGAGTAATCTGTTCCCCGAGAGAGTAATCTGTTCCCCGAGAGAGTAATCTGTTCCCCGAGAGAGTAATCTGTTCCCCGAGACAGTATCTGTTCCCCGAGAGAGTAATCTGTTCCCCGAGAGAGTAATCTGTTCCCCGAGAGAGTAATCTGTTCCCCGAGAGAGTAATCTGTTCCCCGAGACAGTAATCTGTTCCCCGAGACAGTAATCTGTTCCCCGAGAGAGTAATCTGTTCCCCGAAGAGTAATCTGTTCCCCGAGACAGTAATCTGTTCCCCGAGAGAGTAATCTGTTCCCCGAGAGAGTAATCTGTTCCCCGAGAGAGTAATCTGTTCCCCGAGAGAGTAATCTGTTCCCCGAGAGAGTAAATCTGTTCCCCGAGAGAGTAATCTGTTCCCCGAGAGAGTAATCTGTTCCCCGAGAGAGTAATCTGTTCCCCGAGAGAGTAATCTGTTCCCAGAGACAGTAATCTGTTCCCCGAGACAGTAATCTGTTCCCCGAGAGAGTAATCTGTTCCCCGAGAGAGTAATCTGTTCCCCGAGAGAGTAATCTGTTCCCCGAGAGAGTAATCTGTTCCCCGAGACAGTAATCTGTTCCCCGAGACAGTAATCTGTTCCCTGAGACAGTAATCTGTTCCCTGAAGGTGGGTGATTCACTTACTCTGAACTTGTTGAGGGACTTTGCGAGAGCCTCGATGGTCTCCATGTCCAGATGATTGGTCGGCTCGTCCAGGATGTAGAAGTTTGGACTGACGGGAACAAAAACAAATATACTTTGTTCCTGTTCAGCTTATTCTATTTCACATGTTTACAGTTGACTTCTTACGCATTTACCTGCACATTGGTCACTTTCAACCTTCTTTGCACTATTTTATTTATGTTGTTCTATTTCAATATTGTTATTGTTTGTCTTATTTATATTTACATTGCATTGTGGGAGGAGCCTGTGACTTCAGATGCTCATTGCCATATCTACACTGCTGAGCATCCGATGATAAAACCTTTGATTCTTTAAATGACCGTCGTTATATTTTATGACTACATCACCTTAAAAAATGCATAAACTTTAACAACTTTAAGAAATTGTGGTTTGGATTAGACGAGTTATTTTGATTGTAAAAGCTATACAAACATTAAATCAAGAGTCTGCAAGAAGAAATACTTTGAAAACACTCCACTCTAATGTCCCCCCCCGCCTACCACGGCATGGTCATCTGAGCGAAGGCCACGCGACTCTTCTGCCCCCCCGACAGACTGGCCACCGGCCTCGTGGCGAGTTCACCAGTGATCCCGTACCCGCCCAGCTGGTGCCGGTACTCCTCCTCTGGCCGACCTGCACACAAACACACAATCAATCAGAACCATCCAATCAGAACCAAGACCAGTCAATCAGGACCAGTCAATCAGGACCAGCCAATCAGAAGCAGACACAGCTCAGCATGGTGTTTGGTTGTGTTTATTGTTGTTGTTGTGTTTGTTGTTGTTGTGGTTACCGGGGAAGCGGTTGAGCAGCAGCTCTATAGAGCAGACGTTCATGTCCAGCTGGTCCACGTGATGCTGACTGAAGTAACCGATCTTCAGGCTCCTGGGGACAAAACAACCAGCAAGATGAACCTCAGGAGAAATTCAAAACGAAACACCTAAGAGTTAACGGTTCCCTAAAAACAGAAGGTGGTTCCCTAAATAGTGTTTATAAACTAAGAGTTAACGGTTCCCTAAAACAGAAGGTGGTTCCCTAAATAGTGTTTATAAACTAAGAGTTAACGGTTCCCTAAATAGTGTTTATAAACTAAGAGTTAACGGTTCCCTAAATAGTACTAATAAACTAAGAGTTAACGGTTCCCTAAAACAGAAGGTGGTTCCCTAAATAGTATTTATGAACTAAGAGTTAACGGTTCCCTAAAACAGAAGGTGGTTCCCTAAATAGTATTTATGAACTAAGAGTTAACGGTTCCCTAAATAGTGTTTATAAACTAAGAGTTAACGGTTCCCTAAATAGTACTAATAAACTAAGAGTTAACGGTTCCCTAAAACAGAAGGTGGTTCCATAAATAGTGTTTATAAACTAAGAGTTAACGGTTCCCTAAAACAGAAGGTGGTTCCCTAAATAGTGTTTATAAACTAAGAGTTAACGGTTCCCTAAAACAGAAGGTGGTTCCCTAAATAGTGTTTATAAACTAAGAGTTAACAGTTCCCTAAAACAGAAGGTGGTTCCCTAAATAGTATTTATGAACTAAGAGTTAACGGTTCCCTAAATAGTGTTTATAAACTAAGAGTTAACGGTTCCCTAAATAGTACTAATAAACTAAGAGTTAACGGTTCCCTAAAACAGAAGGTGGTTCCCTAATAGTGTTTATAAACTAAGAGTTAACGGTTCCCTAAAACAGAAGGTGGTTCCCTAAATAGTGTTTATAAACTAAGAGTTAACGGTTCCCTAAAACAGAAGGTGGTTCCCTAAATAGTATTTATGAACTAAGAGTTAACGGTTCCCTAAAACAGAAGGTGGTTCCATAAATAGTATTTATAAACTAAGAGTTAACGGTTCCCTAAAACAGAAGGTGGTTCCCTAAATAGTATTTATGAACTAAGAGTTAACGGTTCCCTAAAACAGAAGGTGGTTCCCTAAATAGTGTTTATAAACTAAGAGTTAACGGTTCCCTAAAACAGAAGGTGGTTCCCTAAATAGTACTAATAAACTAAGAGTTAACGGTTCCCTAAAACAGAAGGTGGTTCCCTAAATAGTGTTTATAAACTAAGAGTTAACGGTTCCCTAAAACAGAAGGTGGTTCCCTAAATAGTATTTATGAACTAAGAGTTAACGGTTCCCTAAAACAGAAGAGGGTTCCCTAAATAGTACTAATAAACTAAGAGTTAACGGTTCCCTAAACAGAACGAAGAAGAATTAAAACCTATAAACAAATAGTCAACAGTTCCCTGATGAGAGAAAATAATTCCCCTAATAGACGGTATAAACAAAGAGCTATGGGTAAACTGAGGAGAGAACAAGGTTCCCTAAATGAACCTATAGACAGAGCGTTAACGACTCACCGAGGAGAGAACAAGGTTCCCCAAATGAACCTATAGACAGAGCGTTAACGACTCACCGAGGAGAGAACAAGGTTCCCCAAATGAACCTATAGACAGAGCGTTAACGACTCACCGAGGAGAGAACAAGGTTCCCTAAATGATCCTATAGACAGAGCGTTAACGACTCACCGAGGAGAGAACAAGGTTCCCTAAATGAACCTATAGACAGAGCCTTAACGACTCGCCGAGGAGAGAACAAGGTTCCCTAAATGAACCTATAGACAGAGCGTTAACGACTCGCCGAGGAGAGAACAAGGTTCCCTAAATGAACCTATAGACAGAGCGTTAACGACTCGCCGAGGAGAAAACAAGGTTCCCTAAATGATCCTATAGACAGAGCGTTAACGACTCGCCGAGGAGAGAACAAGGTTCCCTAAATGAATCTAGAGACAGAGCCTTAACGACTCACCGAGGAGAGAGCATTGAAATACGTTTAGAGTGAGGGTCCCTGTGGACGGGTACCTGTGGGCTTGTCTCATTCCGTTGACCGGCGTTAAGTCACCCATCAGCAGCTTCAGGACGGTGGTTTTACCCGCGCCGTTTTCACCGACCTATCAGGAAACACAACAGCGTCAGGTGTTCAGGTCACTGATTACAGAACATTCAGACAGGTGTGAAGTCTCATGTGAATGCTGGGCTGTGATTGGCTGGTTGAACGTACGATGCAGATGCGAGACTCGAGGTCGGCCGACACGTTGAGTCCAGAGAAGAGAGGACGGTCCGGAGTGTAGTAAAACTCCAGCTCATCTAACTGAAGGATGGGAGGAGACAACTTCTCAAAGTTATCTGGGAACCTGAGGAACACAAAGCATGTTCATCAAGTAATCAATTAACTCATCAATTACCAATCAATCAATCAATCAATCAATCTGCTCTTCTTACTTTAAGGAGACCTCAATCTCTTTTTCAAGCGGCTTCATCTCAGGTCTGCAGGAGGAAACAAACAGAATTACCTGTCTGTCAGAGGACCGTCACAGCAGCACAGGTAGCAAGGGGCACAGGTGTGCACCAGGTGTGTATCAGTTGTGTGCACCAGGTGTGTGCACCAGGTGTGTACCAGGTGTGTATCAGGTGTGCACCAGGTGTGTATCAGTTGTGTGCACCAGGTGTGTGTATCAGTTGTGTGCACCAGGTGTGTATCAGTTGTGTGCACCAGGTGTGTGTATCAGGTGTGTGCACCAGGTGTGTACCAGGTGTGTATCAGGTGTGCACCAGGTGTGTATCAGGTGTGCACCAGGTGTGTATCAGGTGTGCACCAGGTGTGTGTATCAGTTGTGTGCACCAGGTGTGTGTATCAGTTGTGTGCACCAGGTGTGTGTATCAGTTGTGTATTGTGGAGGAAACTTCTGTAGCAATAGAGAGTCAGGACTCAGAGAGACACGAGGAGAGCTGGAGCTTCGATGGCAAACACTGACGGTTTATTTGGAGTTACGGCCGGAGAGTTGACGAGACCCGTGGAGTGTTACGAGTTGACACAGCGGTTGCCAAACCAATTCTGAAGAACTCTTCTGCAGCTCCAGGTTTTATCGAGTTCGGAGCGTAATAATCAACGTTCTTCATCAGTGAGACTAAACATTATGGACCCTGAATCTATAGAGCTCTCGTCCACAAGAACGAGCGCCAGGGAACCTTCGTCCCTGAACGGTACACTACCTCATGGCGGCTTGTGCTCCGTCATAGACTGGCAACAACAATACCCCCAAGCTGCCCCTCCTCAAGAGAGATAGCAGCAATACCCAAGCTGCCCCCCCCTCAAGAGAGATAGCAGCAATACCCCAGCTGCCCCCCCTCAAGAGAGATAGCAGCAATACCCCAGCTGCCCCCTCCTCAAGAGAGATAGCAGCAATACCCCATGCCTGCCCCTCCTCAAGAGAGATAGCAGCAATACCCCAGCTGCCCCCCTCAAGAGAGATAGCAGCAATACCACAGCGCCCCCCCTCAAGAGAGATAGCAGCAATACCCCCAGCTGCCCCTCCTCAAGAGAGATAGCGAGCATACCCCAGCTGCCCCATCCTCAAGAAGATAGCAGCAATACCCCCCAGCTGCCACCCCCTCAAGAGTAGATAGCAGCAATACCCCAGCTGCCCCCCCCCTCCCGCAGAGAGATAGCAGCAATACCCCAGCTGCCCCCTCCTCAAGAGAGATAGGCATTACCCTCATACCCCAGCTGCCCCCCCGTCACGAGAGATAGCAGCAATACCCAGCTGCCCCCCCTCAAGAGAGATAGCAGCAATACCCCCAGCTGCCCCCTCCTTCAGAGCGATAGCAGCAAATACCCACCAGCTGCCCCTCCTCGAAGAGAAGATAGCAGCCAATACCCCAGTGCCCTCCTTCAGAGGAGGATAGCAGCAATACCCAGCTGCCCCCTCAGAGGATAGCAGCAAGACCCCAGCATGCCCCTCCTCAGAGAGATAGCAGCAATACCCAGCTGCCCCCCTTCAGAGAGATAGCAGCAATACCCCAGCTGCCCCCCTCAAGAGAGATAGCAGCAATACCCCAGCTGCCCCTCCTTCAGAGCGATAGCAGCATACCCCCAGCTGCCCCTCCTCAAGAGAGATAGCAGCAATACCCCAGCTGCCCCCCTCAAGAGAGATAGCAGCAATACCCCAGCTGCCCCCCCTCAAGAGATAGCAGCAATACCCCAGCTGCCCCCCTCAAGAGATAGCAGCAATACCCAGCTGCCCCTCCTCAAGAGAGATAGCAGCAATACCCCAGCTGCCCTCCTCAAGAGAATAGCAGCAATACCCCAGCTGCCCCCCCTCAAGAGAGATAGCAGCAATACCCCAGCTGCCCCTCCTCAGAGAGATAGCAGCAATACCCCAGCTGCCCCTCCTCAAGAGAGATAGCAGCAATACCCCATGCCCCCCCTCAAGAGATAGCAGCAATACCCCGCTGCCCCTCCTCAAGAGATAGCAGCAATACCCCAGCTGCCCCCTCAAGAGATAGCAGCAATACCCCAGCTGCCCCCCTCAAGAGAGATAGCAGCAATACCCCAGCTGCCCCTCCTCAAGAGAATAGCAGCAATACCCCAGCTGCCCCTCCTCAAGAGAGATAGCAGCAATACCCCAGCTGCCCCTCCTCAAGAGAGATAGCAGCAATACCCCAGCTGCCCCCCCTCA